TGTAAAAGGGAGCCCCCTCCCATTGTAACTGCATTACTTCTGGACTAAGAAAGTAACACCGTGGTCAGACACCTTTCAATGATAAAGCCAAGAAAAAATATTACAGAAATTTATTGTAAGTTTTTATTTTGTTAACATATAATTACATTGAAGTGGTACATTCATGTACTTTTTTGTTTATTCAAAATTTGTTGTTTCAAAAGCGATTATTTTGTCTTTGCTGTACTTCCTGTCTAGAAAGGCAGCAGTGCACACGTCTTATCAGCTGTGTGTAAATTACAAACAGATATCTTATCAGTTGTTTGTAAATAGCAAATAAAGAAAGTGGCCCAACTTAAAACTAGTTACCCTCAGTTCAGTTATGTTTGTAAATCATGCATATTAATGAGATGCACTAGTTTGGTGTACAGTGGATAAACAAAAACTTGGCCATTTGTTTGCACACAAGAAAAAAATCAGTTTACTTGTACAAGATATTTTTTTCAGTAAAATAAAAACACCAATGTATGTAGCATGCCTTAGGGAGCTATTCGTGTGATTTTCAAAAAAAAATGTGCCCAAAAAACTATTCTCCTAGTTTATTTCAATATTTTACAGTTACTCAAAGTGTGGGTCAAAAACAAACGGTCTAAAAAACTAAAAACATAACACGTCGCGCTTGAAGGACGTCAGCAAGGTATCGAACGGGTTCACCTTAAAGCGCTACAGTCGTCACGCATCGCGCGTTCAAATTTTGTCCAAACAAACAATGTATTTTACAATTTACACGCGTTGTATACGTCGCCATGAGTCCCATATCGAACACGACACAGTGCAGTGGACTGTAACGCGTTAAATGTTGTCTCCTTGTTTGTATTTCAGATGTTGATGAGTGTGATTTAAATATAGATGAATGTGAACAGACATGTATCGATAGAAATGGATATTATATATGTGGTTGTTATGATGGTTATAGGTTAAATGATGACGAACGTTCTTGTGATGGTAAGTGAGTCCAAAGTTCTTAGAGAAAATAAAGCTTTCAATATTTATCGCCCTTTACGGCGCCCACATTAAATTTGAAAATGTTCGAACTTAAAATATTTTGTACGATATTTTTTTTTGTAAAACATACTATGTGTACTGTTTGTAGATATCGACGAGTGTGCTGTGAATAATGCTGGATGCAGTCATAACTGTGTAAAATATACTATGTGTACTGTTTGTAGATATCGACGAGTGTGCTGTGAATAATGCTGGATGCAGTCATAACTGTGTAAATACAGTTGGGTCGTATATATGTACATGCAATGAAGGGTTTTATCTTGGTAGTAATGGAAAAGACTGTTTTGGTAGGTACAATGTAACAATGTCTGATTCAAGGCTAGCAGTTAACTTTCTAGTCCTTGAAATTAGTTACCGATCGATTTAACTTATTTTTGACTGTTTACAAACACACAAATCAAAAAATATAATAATAATAAAAAATGATTGTTTAGATTAGATTGGCATCACATCTAATAATAGATGAACACATTGTTGATATATTGTAAAATACAATGCATTTGGCATTACACTTTTTGCGAGCTAATGTTCCAGACACGGAGAAAATGACAAATAATATGTTTTTCTTCGAATTTACATACATTCCACCCTTGAAATAAACATTCAATTGGTTAAGCACAGATTTGCACTTAAATGGTTTTACTTTGAACAATTTTAAGGGAAATAGCAATAGTTTTGCGTATCACAAAGCCTTGCTAAAATGTTTTCCTAAAGAATTTAACACTGTTATAGTTTACTTTAATATTTCACAGTTCCCCACAGTTTGAGTCGAACACAAACGGCCAGGAAAAAATAACACGACGCACAGGACAGACGTCAACAATGTATCGATCTAACTCGTGTTTTTATTTCAGATATTGATGAATGTGATTTAAATATCGATGGATGTGAACAGACGTGCTACAACCGGTTTGGCTCATATGTCTGTTCATGTGACGAAGGCTTTATTTTAGATGACGATGAGCACAACTGCATAGGTATAAAACATAATTGTTTTACTGCTATACTAGATACCTAAAATATTAAATATAACTTACATACAACACGATTACCATCACCTGTATGCTTAATTCTTCGCTAGTAATGACGGTGACATGCTTTTCTAAATTTATCTCTATTTGGTAATATTGATAGAAGAAAATTGAAACAAGATTTGTGTTCCGAGCTTGCATTATAACACATCTGCAAACACAAATAATACATAAAGGGC